AAAATGGAACCAAATGAAACAAATTTTGATGTTTAGAGATAAAAAAACTTTTCACAAAAAAAAGCTAAATTTTCCAACTAAAGTTCCATAAATTTATAACATAATAAAGAATGTTAATGTATTTTGTAATAAAATCATAAACACAAGAAGATAGGTTAACAACTGAAAGCTTTGTTTTCTAACTAAAGCTCTTTAAAGCTTTAGTAACTGCTATTTTAAAAGTGCAGAAGTTTAATATCTTAAAAGCAAAAAGATCATGAGTTTTTTTTAAAGAAAATAAGAACAAAAATCATTAGTTTGTTTAAAGAAAACTGAAACAAAATTAAACTAATCTGATCTTTAGAGAAAGAGCTTTTTTTCGAGATAGAGTTTTAAGCGATTTTCAAGCTTTTGAAAGAATTATAAATTATAAAGAATTTAAAAATATAAATTAGTCAATAATTTTGTAATAAAATCTCTGTGAAAACTTGAAGATAAGTTAAAAGCTATAATTTTCAAACTAAAGCTTTATTAAATGAGATTTTAATAATGCAGAAGCTTAAAGTCTTGGAGGGTTAAAAAATCATCAGTTTCTTAAACAAATTTAAACAATATTAAACTTATTTGAACTGTAGTGAAAAGAAGCTTTTCAGAGATAAAGTTATAAGCGATTCTTCACTCTTTAAAGTTCTATATAACGGATTAGCCTTATTAGAAATAAGCTCTAAAGCACTAAAGCTCTTTTAAGCTTAAAGAACAGTGAAAGTTTATATTTAAAGCAACCGAATACACTTTCATGTTTTAAGAAAAAAGCTTTTAATTTTAAACCTAAAGAATGTAGGAAAGCACTTAAATTGTGTAACTAAAGCTCTTTTAAGCTTTTTAGTAAAAGCTTTTATAGTAAAAGCTTTTAAAAGCCTTTATCATTAACTAGCGAGAGAGAGAGAGCGCTTTAAATAGTCCTCAAGAAAAGTATGTGTACTCTTGGACTAGTATATGGACTAGTTATGCGATAGTTTGTGGACTAGTATATGGGTTCAGTTCTAGTTCAGTTCTAGTTCAGTTCAAGTTCAGTTCTAGTTCAGTTCTAGTTCAGTTCTAGTTCAGTTCTAGTTCAGTTCTAGTTCAGTTCTAGTTCAGTTCTAGTTCAGTTCTAGTTCAGTTCTAGTTCAGTTCTAGTTCAGTTCTAGTTCAGTTCTTGTTCAGTTTAAGTCTATTGATTAGTCTATGGACTAGTCTGTTGACTAATCTATGTGCTAGTTCAGTGACTAGTCTACTGACAACTCTATTTATTAGTCTGTTAACAAGTCTATGGACTAGTATATAGCATAAACTATTGGAATAGTCTGCTGACAAGTTTATTGTCATGTTTATAGAAGAGTCTATTGACAAGCCCATGGATTAGTAAATGGACTACTACATTGACTAGTATTTGGATTAGTGTCTGTATTCAGTTCCTAAAATAGTACCTAGTAATAAGAACAACCCTTGGTACTAAACTTAATAAAAATAGTTATCGATATTATGATTAATTTTTAAGTCTATTAGAAAAGTCTGTTTCTTTTTTTCTTCTAAATGACTTTCTTATGACTTTCTGTTTAATTTATGAATACACATTTTTTAACAATAAATATTTTTCCATATTTCTAAAAGATTAAAACGGAACAAATAATAACAAAATTCTTTAATAAACATTGAAAATTTATTTAGCTGCTGTTTAAACAACAGCAGCAGCCTGAAGTAATTTTGCGCCACATTAAAAATGTTTTTAAGATAAAATTTCAACAAAATTTTTATCAAATTTTTAACAATTGCACACACAGGAAAACAAAAAGTTGAGAACAAATTAAATGTTTTTTTGTTTAACAATTTTAATTTAAAAAATTCTATGCTTGAATGAAAAACCAAAAAAATATAAGCTAAGTAAATAATTAGAAAATTATTTCAGAAAAACAACTACTTGAAATAAAAATAATTAAAATTTTAAGGTTTTGCTGTTTTTACTATTTTTAATGACAATCTAATGAACCCAAACCTTCATTAATTTCAATATTTATTTTATTTTTTTTATTTTTTTTATTTCTTCTCTCCCTCTCTTTCTAATTCCTTCAAATTACTTCGATAAAAATATATTACTAAAGTGTATTTTGTAAATAAAATTGCTAAGAAACATTAATAATCACTTATATTTTATCTTATTACTTTTTCGCTCTTTCGAATCGTATTTTTTAAAAACCCTATAGCTTTAGTAGTATTTTAAGCTTTTGAGTATGCACAATCAGCAGATTACGCTTTATTTATAATTTTGAGTGCATATTTCTGTTAAATTTTTAATTAAAATTTAGAAAAAAAAGGTTTGTGGAAAACGACTATCCAAATATACTAGAAAATAGACAAGACTATAGACCAGGCTATAGACTAGACTATAGGATAGACTATAGGCAAGACTATGGAATAGACTGTAGACTAGCTATAGACCATAATGCTAGACTATAAGAACGACTATATACTAGACTAGACTATAGACTAGACTAGACTAGACTATAGACTAGACTATAGACTAGACTATAGACTAGACTATAGACTAGACTATAGACTAGACTATAGACTAGACTATAGACTAGATTATAGACTAGACTATAGACTAGACTATAGACTAGACTATAGACTAGACTATAGACTACACTATAGACTAGACTATAGACTACACTATAGACTAGACTATAGACTAGACTATAGACTAGACTATAGACTAGACTATAGACTAGACTATAGACTAGACTATAGACTAGGCTATAGACTAGACTATAGACTAGACTATAGACTAGACTATAGAATAGACTATAGACTAGACTATAGACTAGACTATAGACTAGACTATAGACTAGACTATAGACTAGACAATAGACTAGACTATAGACTAGACTATAGACTAGACTATAGACTAGACTATAGACTAGACTATAGACTAGACTATAGACTAGACTATAGACTAGACTATAGACTAGACTATAGACTAGACTATAGACTAGACTATAGACTAGACTATAGACTAGACTATAGACTAGACTATAGACTAGACTATAGACTAGACTATAGACTAGACTATAGACTAGACTATAGACTAGACTATAGACTAGACTATAGACTAGACTATAGACTAGACTATAGACTAGACTATAGACTAGACTATAGACTAGACTATAGACTAGACTAGACTAGACTATAGACTAGACTATAGACTAGACTATAGACTAGACTATAGACTAGACTATAGACTAGACTATAGACTAGACTATAGACTAGACTATAGACTAGACTATAGACTAGACTATAGACTAGACTATAGACTAGACTATAGACTAGACTATAGACTAGACTATAGACTAGACTACTAGACTATAGACTAGACTATAGACTAGACTATAGACTAGACTATAGACTAGACTATAGACTAGACTATAGACTAGACTATAGACTAGACTATAGACTAGACTATAGACTAGACTATAGACTAGACTATAGACTAGACTATAGACTAGACTATAGACTAGACTATAGACTAGACTATAGACTAGACTATAGACTAGACTATAGACTAGACTATAGACTAGACTATAGACTAGACTATAGACTAGACTATAGACTAGACTATAGACTAGACTATAGACTAGACTATAGACTAGACTATAGACTAGACTATAGACTAGACCATAGACTAGACTATAGACTAGACTATAGACTAGACTATAGACTAGACTATAGACTAGACTATAGACTAGACTATAGACTAGACTATAGGCTAGACTATAGACTAGACTATAGGCTAGACTATAGACTAGACTATAGACTAGACTATAGACTAGACTATAGACTAGACTATAGACTAGACTATAGTCTAAAATAAATAATAATAATATAATAAATTTTCTACAAAATGTTATAAAAAAAATGTACTAAATTTTTTAATAAAACTTTGTACTAAAAATTTCAATAAATTGTCAAACATAGATTTTTAATAAAATTTTATACTAAAATTTGTACTAGAATTAAAAACTAATTAATAAAAGTCTTAGTGGAAAAGTTAAAAAAAAAAGTTTGAGTACAACATTTTTATAAAATATTTAGTACAACATTTTTCAAAAGAAGTTGTATGAACATTTTTAGTTGAAAATGTTATGAAATGTTTAGTTCAAAACTTTACTATAAACATTTTGTAAAAAATTTTTTTTTATAGTACAAAATGATAACAAAAATGTTGATCAAAATTTTTTAGTACAAAATTGTACTTAAATTTTTTATACAAAATTTAATTAAAATTTTTAGTAAACAAATTTTACTAAAATTTTTAGTACAATATTTTTTTAAATTTTTAGTACAAAATTTTTTTTTAATTTTTAGTACAGAATTTTACTAAGATTTTTAGTACCTACAAATCTAGTTTTTTAAAATTTTTAGTACAAAATTTTAGTAAAATTATTAGTACATTTTTTTTCATTTTTTGGTACATAATGTTAACAAAAATTTTGATCAAAGTTTTTAGCACAAAATTTTACTAAAATTTTTAGTACAAAATTTTACTAACATTTTTCGTAAATTTTTTTTAAATTTTTAGTACAAAATGTTAACAAAAATTGTGATGAAAGTTTTTAGCACAAAATTTTACTAAAATTTTTAGAACAACATTTTTGGTGTAAATTATTCTTAGAAGAATTTTAGTACAAAAAGTTACAAACATTTTGTAAGTAAAATATTCATAAAATTTTCACTTCCTTTTTCTCTAAAGAAAAATTACTTACAATATAGATAATTATTTTTCCTAAATTAACTTAATTAATTTTACATTTTTTTTAAAACAATTTAATTGTTTCACTTGCCACTTTTTTATAAATTTCCAAAACAATTGAAAATAATAATAAAACAAACTCCACCCAAACATTTAAATAACTGTTTTGTTTAAACAATAAATTTAAAATTAGCATTTTTTTCTAATTTGCCATTTCCTCTCAAATTCATTTCAGAACGAAATTCATTCATTAAAGCAACAACAACTGCTGGACGGTATTACAACAAACAAACAATCAAAAAAAAACTAAACAATTAACTGACAAAATTAAAAGGAAAATAATTTACAAACAAAAATGTCGCAAACTGAAATGAAAGCCTCCTCGCCCACACCCTCCTCAGCCTCAACACCCGATGTCATCAACAAAGCAGCCACCAAATTGTGTCACATTGTCAAACGGCCCGATTTTGATGGTTATGGTTTCAATTTGCACTCGGAAAAGGCTAAACCAGGACAATTTATAGGTAAAGTTGATGCCAACTCACCGGCCGAAGCAGCCGGTCTTAAGGAGGGAGACCGTATCATAGAAGTCAATGGAGTGGCCATTAATAGTGAGACACACAAACAAGTGGTGCAGCGTATAAAGGCCGTTTCCGGTGAGGTGCGTTTACTGCTGGTGGATGTGGAAGGCAAGGGAGATGGTTTGATGTTTAATGGTCAACAAAGTAATGGTAAAACTGCAATGGAAACCTCAAAAACGGAACAAGTTTTGCCGGGAGCAAGTGAAAATATCAACAGCATTACAATGGTATCCACGAAAAGACCCTCCCAAGAGTCACAACGTTCAAGTGCGCAGGTTAACAACAACAGTATGGATGTTACGGACAAGGCAGTAAGTAGTGTTCCTAATCAGGCAGTAATGACGAACAACAACAACAATATACCACCACCTCCCTCAGCCACCATGGCTACATCACCCTCAAAATCTATGATGAACAACAATATCAGCAACAACAGCAGTAAGACCCCCTTAAACAACAGCAATGGTTCTCACACGGAAATGGCAGCAGCAGCAGCCAGCGGAAGTGCTAGTGGCAATGGCACCACCATCAAGGCAGGCAGTTTACAGTTGCCCATGACTGCTGCCGAAATGCGTGCCAAGTTGATGATGAAAAAGAAATACGATCCCAAAAATGAAAGTGTGGACTTGAAGAAGAAATACGAAATTGTACAAAAACTTTAAAAATTTTCCAAAAAATTTCTATAATGTTTTTCTATTTGCAAAAAAAAATTTCATTTTCTTTTTTTTTATTAAACTATAGTTCTGAAGTCATATATTATTATTTAATTTAATAAATTAAAAACCAATAATTGAGCGTAACAAAACAGAAAAACTTAGTTTTAAGTTAAAAACAATTTAATTTGTTGTTTATTTTTTTCTACATTCCATTTAAAGATTTTTTTCTTAGAGAAAAAAAAAATCGTTTAAAAAAATTGGATTTACAACAAAACATATAATTTTTAAAATTTTTCTTTTAAATTTTGTAACTTTATTTTTTATTATTATTTTAGACCTACAAAATGTTATTTTATATAATTTTTTTTTTTAATTTAACCAGAAAAATTGTTGAATCAATTGTACTCTACTACATACTATGTGTCAATTATTTAAGTAAATTTGTTTCTCTTAAGAGGAAAAAAATAGATTTAAAATAAAAAAAAAATAAATAAAAATTTTAAAAACCACAACCAATTAACATGTTTTATTTGCGCTAAATAGCTTTATAAAAGATTTAAATGGAATTTAAAACGTTAAAAATACGTTAAGCTTTTTTAACCCTTTTATGTCGAGAGAAAAGTTTCAGAGACACCTTTACCCAGGGAACATTTTTACTTAGAAAACTACTAAAAAGACTATAGACTAGACTACACACTAACCTATAGACTAGACTGTAGACTAGACTATAGACTAGTCCATACATTAGATTACAGCCTAGACTATATAACCGACTGTAGAACAGACTACAAATTACAATATATAGTACACTATAGACTATACTATGGAACAAACAAGACCAACAGACTATAGACTGCACTATAGAATAGGCTATAGTCTGGACTATAGAATAGGCTATAGTCTGGACTATTGAATAGGCTATAGTCTGGACTATTGAATAGGCTATAGTCTGGACTATAGAATAGACTATAGTCTGGACTATAAAATAGACTATAGTCTAGACTATAGTATGGACTATAGTGTAGACCATAGTATGGACTATAGAATAGACTATAGTATGGACTATAGAATAGACTATAGTATGGACTATAGAATAGACTATATGTAGAATAGACTATAGTCTGGACTATGGAATACACTATAGTCTATAGTCTAGTCTATAGTCTAGTCTATAGTCTAGTCTATAGTCTAGTCTATAGTCTAGTCTATAGTCTAGTCTATAGTCTAGTCTATAGTCTAGTCTATAGTCTAGTCTATAGTCTAGTCTATAGTCTAGTCTATAGTCTAGTCTATAGTCTAGTAGTCTATAGTCTAGTCTATAGTCTAGTCTATAGTCTAGTCTATAGTCTAGTCTATAGTCTAGTCTATAGTCTAGTCTATAGTCTAGTCTATAGTCTAGTCTATAGTCTAGTCTATAGTCTAGTCTATAGTCTAGTCTATAGTCTAGTCTATAGTCTAGTCTATAGTCTAGTCTATAGTCTAGTCTATAGTCTAGTCTATAGTCTAGTCTATAGTCTAGTCTATAGTCTAGTCTATAGTCTAGTCTATAGTCTAGTCTATAGTCTAGTCTATAGTCTAGTCTATAGTCTAGTCTATAGTCTAGTCTATAGTCTAGTCTATAGTCTAGTCTATAGTCTAGTCTATAGTCTAGTCTATAGTCTAGTCTATAGTCTAGTCTATAGTCTAGTCTATAGTCTAGTCTATAGTCTAGTCTATAGTCTAGTCTATAGTCTAGTCTATAGTCTAGTCTATAGTCTAGTCTATAGTCTAGTCTATAGTCTAGTCTATAGTCTAGTCTATAGTCTAGTCTATAGTCTAGTCTATAGTCTAGTCTATAGTCTAGTCTATAGTCTAGTCTTAGTCTAGTCTATAGTCTAGTCTATAGTCTAGTCTATAGTCTAGTCTATAGTCTAATCTATAGTCTAGTCTATAGTCTAGTCTATAGTTAGTCTATAGTTCCTAGTCTATAGTCTAGTCTATAGTCTAGTCTATAGTCCTAGTTAGTCTAGTCTATAGTCTAGTCTATAGTCTAGTCTATAGTCTGTCTATAGTCTAGTCTATAGTCTAGTCTATAGTCTAGTCTATAGTCTAGTCTATAGTCTAGTCTATAGTCTAGCTCTATAGTCTTACCTAGTCTAGAGTCTGTCCTATAGTCTAGTCTATAGTCTAGTCTATAGTCTAGTCTATAGTCTAGTCTATAGTCTAGTCTATAGTCTAGTCTATAGTCCTAGTCCTATAGGTCTAGTCTATAGTCTAGTCTATAGTCCTAGTCTATAGTCTAGTCTATAGTCTAGTCTATAGTCTAGTCTATAGTCTAGTCTATAGTCTAGTCCTATCTAGTCTATAGTCTAGTCTATAGTCTAGTCTATAGTCTAGTCTATAGTCTAGTCTATAGTCTAGTCTATAGTCTAGTCTATAGTCTAGTCTATAGTCTAGTCTATAGTCTAGTCTATAGTCTAGTCTAGTCTAGTCTATAGTCTAGTCTATAGTCTAGTCTATAGTCTAGTCTATAGTCTAGTCTATAGTCTAGTCTATAGTCTAGTCTATAGTCTAGTCTATAGTCTAGTCTATAGTCTAGTCTATAGTCTAGTCTATAGTCTAGTCTATAGTCTAGTCTATAGTCTAGTCTATAGTCTAGTCATAGTCTAGTCTATAGTCTAGTCTATAGTCTAGTCTATAGTCTAGTCTATAGTCTAGTCTATAGTCTAGTCTAGTCTATAGTCTAGTCTATAGTCTAGTCTATAGTCTAGTCTATAGTCTAGTCTATAGTCTAGTCTATAGTCTAGTCTATAGTCTAGTCTATAGTCTAGTCTATAGTCTAGTCTATAGTCTAGTCTATAGTCTAGTCTAGTCTAGTCTAGTCTATAGTCTAGTCTATAGTCTAGTCTATAGTCTAGTCTATAGTCTAGTCTATAGTCTAGTCTATAGTCTAGTCTATAGTCTAGTCTATAGTCTAGTCTATAGTCTAGTCTATAGTCTAGTCTATAGTCTAGTCTATAGTCTAGTCTATAGTCTAGTCTATAGTCTAGTCTATAGTCTAGTCTATAGTCTAGTCTATAGTCTAGTCTATAGTCTAGTCTATAGTCTAGTCTATAGTCTAGTCTATAGTCTAGTCTATAGTCTAGTCTATAGTCTAGTCTATAGTCTAGTCTATAGTCTAGTCTATAGTCTAGTCTATAGTCTAGTCTATAGTCTCATAGTCTAGTCTATAGTCTATAGTCTAGTCTATAGTCTAGTCTATAGTCTAGTCTATAGTCTAGTCTATAGTCTAGTCTATAGTCTAGTCTATAGTCTAGTCTATAGTCTAATCTATAGTCTATAGTCTAGTCTATAGTCTAGTCTATAGTCTAGTCTAGACTATAGACTAGACTATAGACTATAGTCTAGTCTATAGTCTAGTCTATAGTCTAGTCTATAGTCTAGTCTATAGTCTAGTCTATAGTCTAGTCTATAGTCTAGTCTATAGTCTAGTCTATAGTCTAGTCTATAGTCTAGTCTATAGTCTAGTCTATAGTCTAGTCTATAGTCTAGTCTATAGTCTAGTCTTTAGTCTAGTCTATAGTCTAGTCTATAGTCTAGTCTATAGTCTAGTCTATAGTCTAGTATATAGTCTAGTCTATAGCCTAGTCTATAGTCTAGTCTATAGTCTAGTCTATAGTCTAGTCTATAGTCTAGTCTATAGTCTAGTCTATAGTCTAGTCTATAGTCTAGTCTATAGTCTAGTCTATAGTCTAGTCTATAGTCTAGTCTATAGTCTAGTCTATAGTCTAGTCTATAGTCTAGTCTATAGTCTAGTCTATAGTCTAGTCTATAGTCTAGTCTATAGTCTAGTCTATAGTCTAGTCTATAGTCTATAGAGTCTATAGTCTAGTATAGTCTAGTCTATAGTCTAGTCTATAGTCTAGTCTATAGTCTAGTCTATAGTCTAGTCTATAGTCTAGTCTATAGTCTAGTCTATAGTCTAGTCTATAGTCTAGTCTATAGTCTAGTCTATAGTCTAGTCTATAGTCTAGTCTATAGTCTAGTCTAGTCTATAGTCTAGTCTATAGTCTAGTCTATAGTCTAGTCTATAGTCTAGTCTATAGTCTAGTCTATAGTCTAGTCTATAGTCTAGTCTATAGTCTAGTCTATAGTCTAGTCTATAGTCTAGTCTATAGTCTAGTCTATAGTCTAGTCTATAGTCTAGTCTATAGTCTAGTCTATAGTCTAGTCTATAGTCTAGTCTATAGTCTAGTCTATAGTCTAGTCTATAGTCTAGTCTATAGTCTAGTCTATAGTCTAGTCTATAGTCTAGTCTATAGTCTAGTCTATAGTCTAGTCTATAGTCTAGTCTATAGTCTAGTCTATAGTCTAGTCTATAGTCTAGTCTATAGTCTAGTCTATAGTCTAGTCTATAGTCTAGTCATAGTCTAGTCTATAGTCTAGTCTATAGTCTAGTCTATAGTCTAGTCTATAGTCTAGTCTATAGTCTAGTCTATAGTCTAGTCTATAGTCTAGTCTATAGTCTAGTCTATAGTCTAGTCTATAGTCTAGTCTATAGTCTAGTCTATAGTCTAGTCTATAGTCTAGTCTATAGTCTAGTCTATAGTCTAGTCTATAGTCTAGTCTATAGTCTAGTCTATAGTCTAGTCTATAGTCTAGTCTATAGTCTAGTCTATAGTCTAGTCTATAGTCTAGTCTATAGTCTAGTCTATAGTCTAGTCTATAGTCTAGTCTATAGTCTAGTCTATAGTCTAGTCTATAGTCTAGTCTATAGTCTAGTCTATAGTCTAGTCTATAGTCTAGTCTATAGTCTAGTCTATAGTCTAGTCTATAGTCTAGTCTATAGTCTAGTCTATAGTCTAGTCTATAGTCTAGTCTATAGTCTAGTCTATAGTCTAGTCTATAGTCTAGTCTATAGTCTATCTATAGTCTAGTCTATAGTCTAGTCTATAGTCTAGTCTATAGTCTAGTCTATAGTCTAGTCTATAGTCTAGTCTATAGTCTATCTATAGTCTATAGTCTAGTCTATAGTCTAGTCTATAGTCTAGTCTATAGTCTAGTCTATAGTCTAGTCTATAGTCTAGTCTATAGTCTAGTCTATAGTCTAGTCTATCTAGTCTATAGTCTAGTCTATAGTCTAGTCTATAGTCTAGTCTAGACTATAGACTAGACTATAGACTATAGTCTAGTCTATAGTCTAGTCTATAGTCTAGTCTATAGTCTAGTCTATAGTCTAGTCTATAGTCTAGTCTATAGTCTAGTCTATAGTCTAGTCTATAGTCTAGTCTATAGTCTAGTCTTTAGTCTAGTCTATAGTCTAGTCTATAGTCTAGTCTATAGTCTAGTCTATAGTCTAGTATATAGTCTAGTCTATAGCCTAGTCTATAGTCTAGTCTATAGTCTAGTCTATAGTCTAGTCTATAGTCTAGTCTATAGTCTAGTCTATAGTCTAGTCTATAGTCTAGTCTATAGTCTAGTCTATAGTCTAGTCTATAGTCTAGTCTATAGTCTAGTCTATAG